CAAGAGGTTGAATTGCAAGTCAATGTCCTTGGAAATTTGACCATAAAATTGTGGGATTGTTTTATTGCAGGATGTCAAGTTGCAAGGTACCTGGAGTGTTTTAATTATACAGTATATTGTAAAAAATGTTTAGCAAAGATTATTATCATTTCAAATATTATTGTACAAATCATGTTCAATTCAGTAAATACTTTCGTTGTAGAAAGTTGAATTACCCACATTCCACATTCCATGGAAGAAGCCGAACAGTGCACAAATTCTTAGAAATCATTTACTAATCACCAGGTTACTTCCTGTCAGTACAGCTGATCAGCATTATTTCAATTTTCTTCAGCTTGAGAAAATTTTTTCCATACGAAACTGAAAAAAAGCGAAATTATATCTCAGCATTTCTTACATGATGAAGATTTTCATTATCTCGGGAACAGTAGAAGTGCATGCATCACAAAGATTACGCACAAATGTTTGCGACAAAAAAAAATCACAAAAAACAAAAGGGACTGAGGAAACCCCACAAAAAATGCGTGATGAACACTAAAAGCATTCATACCCTCGCGGGTTGCGGCTGCTTCGGGGCAAACATTCTTCTTCCCTTATTGTGCTCATGTGTGTGTGTATAAGCACAAACATGCTCCTGGACGAAAAGCCGTTGCATTTGGTAAATTACTTTTGGGTTATTTCCTGGCACACAAAAAAAAGCTCTGTGAAGTAAAAGAATTAAAAGGGTTCTTTCGAAATTTTCTTGCAGTACCTTTTGATGAGGATCTTGATGAGTGAAAATGTCCGAGTTATTGCATGTCCTCCGCATCATTGTCAGATGATCAGCAATACTTGAAGCAGTGATCTGCTCATTTGCAAAAGAATTTTTATTGTATTGAATTCCTGGTTTTGGCAATTTCTTGCACAGAAATTTCAATTTTAGTTCAACTTTTACAATCAGCATCACTGATGAAAATGGTCAAGAATGGAAAAATCATCATTCTTTGGAACATGATTGTATGATCTAGGGGAAAATCACTGCCAATAATCTTTGTTTCATATTTTTCAACATTTGAACAGACCTCAAAGTTGTAGAACATACAAAAATCAGGGTACTTTTGTTTAAATCAATTTTTCCTCATACAGTATTGATTGAGTTCACTCTCAACGATCTGCTGCCCTAATGATGGTATTTTATAGTATGACATTTCAAAATGTGGTCTGTATAAAAAAATATTTCCCTTTAATTCATAATTGAAAAATTCCCAACATAATTTGCAAACTTTTGAGATATCCCTTGTAGTTTTGTCCTCTCCAACCAGCAGTTGGCAATGTATTCATGTTTTATCAATTTTTGTTATTGAGAAAATTTGACAAGTAATTTAGAAGATATTTGGTCTGCATGGCGATTAATCTTTAAGCGAGCATCAAGTTTAAAAATGAATTTAATTTTTTTATAATTGAAGAAATCCAATTTGTGGTTACACATAAAATATTGGCTGCTGGAATTTTCAACTGTTTTCAACTCAAATTTTTGTAAACAAATCTTTTTTTTAAATAATAATCTATAAAATTAGGCGACCCATCATTTAAGAGTACAGTATATTTTCCTCAAATCGACTATAGAAGCAAATTTTGTGGCCGGGCTTAAAAAGTCTCCGAAATTTTACTCACGCCGAAGCCTTACTCATTCACATTTGCAATATTTTCGTGAAAACAGGATTCTAATACACTCACACATCAAGTATAACTGAGACCGTAAACACTCTTTTGTGACAAAAATTTAAAATTCAAAGTACTGACGCCAACACTTTTAGTACCTCTCGCAGAACTCCTGACGTATGTAAATAAGCAGGTTTTCGGAATATATCCGAGAGTCAACAACCCCCTTCTTCAATCACTTGAAAATTAATTCCGTTTGATGAAGAAAATCAACAAAACATGGAGATAAAATTAGTGAACAAAAATAGTCGACTTCTGCCCAGAGACACGGAAATTAATGGAGCTCTTCAGCGCTGAGACGGTCAATTAAATCCTTGCTGTTGGTTGTCACACGCTTATTAAGTCCCCTGGGGGGACCCAATTAACTCCTTGGGACAAATCCTATCGTCGCTTTGAAAATGCTTTGTTGGTATTCCGAAAATCGAGAGAAGGAGGAAAGGATCCCCCAGTAGAATAAAAGTTACTTCATAAGCCTGACACTTTTATAGCCAGGGTCTTGTCATATTTCAATCTGCTTTATTTTTTATCAAGTCAATATGGAAACATATTTAATTTTTAAGATGTGTAGTGAAGGAAGTGATACAAGAAATACCAAAAAAATTTTTTTGGATGGCACCAAGAGAAAGTAATGTTCATTAGTCAAATTTACTCAAGTACCAGGCACAACTTTTTTTCTAAAATTTAGAGGGAAAAAGAGGGTGTGTGTCTTGAGCAGGTATAAAATTTTCAAAATGTTACACTTGATTCTAATGGAAAATTTTGGAATAGTTTCAAAATCACATTTTTTAAAAGGAAAGAAATTACATTTATTGGATAAAGGTCCAATTACTGCGAAAATTATAATTTTGGTGTATATCTTAATCTATAATTTTTGCAGTTCTTCAGTCATTAAATATGAGGTTCAAATATTACTTGGGAATTGGGATGAGATTTTATCAAAATTTTAGGCTGAGAAATCAAGGCTATCTGCATCTTACTCCAAAGTGCACATAGTAAAAAAAAAAATAGGACATTTGGTACCTTGCAATTCAACTTTCCTGCAATTTGACAGCCAAATTTGCTGGGAGGTTGGCTTACAATTCAACCTAGGCCCTGCTAAGTGACCACAGAGATGGGCAAAAAGGTCAAATAAAATGTAGAAATCATTGCAATTCATGTTGCTTTGCAATTCAATCTTATAGTCCAGGAAAGGCTTAGAGTCAAATTGCGGGGCACCACCTGTTTTTTTTTTTTTAAACAGTAGCAGATATTTTTTCTTCCCAGAGGCACTGAAGAAAAAATTAAAAAATATATTTGCTGTATTTTTAAATTTATGACAACCCCTTCTCAGCACTCACGTTTTGAAATCTCTGTTCTCATCACACTTTTTCGCGCTCATTAACGACCAGAACTAAGTTAATGAGCGTAAGCTTTGATGCGACTCCAGGCGCCTGCAGGTAGTACCAGAACATCAAAAGCTGGGAAATACAGAGAATAAAACCTCAGCACTTCTTTTTTTTTTTTTTTGAATAAGTTTGAGAGAAATACATAAACTGATGCACATGGTGCTGATTATCCATCGCTTCTCTCTCTCTTTCTTCTTTTTTCCTCCATTTTCTTTTTTCGTTCTCTTAACGAACAAAGAAGAAAGAATTTTTTACTGAATTAGGCTCGCAAACAAGAAAAGAAAGAAGGACGGGCTTCGATGAGCGAGACTAGATGCGAGATCCCTTGGTGTGCCAGGAGTGTCCTGGCTGCCAGTATGTTCCTGTCTGTGCTTATTCCTGCTGTCATGGCGGCGGCCTTGAAGCCTGCGGCAGGCTTGCCACCGGCTGAGCTCTACCGCTCTTTGAATAATGTCGGCATGTTTGGTGGCGACGTGGTCAATAGCATTTCTCTTTTCAGATCAGTGAGTAATCCAAATGTGCTTCCCCCTTTCTTTTTCCATTCCCCATGCCAATGAATAATGAGTGAATGCAAAAATTGGGCGGAAAAAGTATTTTTGATGACCTTTTGTTACAATCTGTGCATTGGTTTTAAAAATTTTAAAGCTCAAAACTTGCCAAAATTCATGCATTTTTCTATGAAAATTATTTCAAGATGAAATAACTTTGTTATAGGAGTTAACTATTTTTTTTTTAATTAAAAGGGCAACCAAAAAATCGAGGGAAAATTTGGCTCCTGCAACAAAATCGGTCGGTCCTGAAATAATTTTCAAATGAAAAATTTATGAATTTCGTCAAGCTTTGAGTTTGAACTTTTGCATTTTCACAATCAAGGCACAGAATATTTGCATAATTTGTTCTATATATTGTTCGGGTATAATGTTTGACTTTCTATTTATTTTACTAACTTTAAATCTCTGGTAATTAATCATCTCACAATATTCCACAAAATAACATCCATCATCTCTCCAGGAAATCCAACACGAATTCCAATCCAAATTTCTGCACTTCCTTAATATTTTTATGTGAATGAAGGCTTTCTTAATTTTAAAACCCTAGAATATTTCCGGCAAATGAAAAAGCGATAACTACCTGATTTTTCTGCTGCGGAAACACTTCGGCAACCACTGACGTTTTCACTTCCAACCTACTACTAAGTCGAACTCTAGATTTTCGTCTGTCTTGCGTTTCACTGAACATCAGCCCACACTATGTTGACCATAAGAAAGCAAAAATCTCACGCTTTTCCCAAGAAAATTATCAGGTTTTATTGTACTCTAAAAAGGGGGAAATATTGGAAGTTATTCAAGAAAGTATGCAAAAGTATATTTTTCTTCGCATACCATTCTGTCCATGCTGTCCATCTTTTGTTTTAAAAGTTTGCTGAAAGTCAATGCGTGGAACTAGGTACAGAGTTCAACTGATTTCACCATTTTCTTTTCCTAGCCAGAATAGTTACGCATTTTATTTATTTATTTCTCATCGGAAGCATCAGCATCCATTCTCCCACAGAAATTAGAGACTAGTTATAAGATAAGGTGTTCTCGGAAATTCTTGGATAGAGATAGAGTTGAAACCCTCAGAGACCATTGAAGTTTCTAAATTAATGTTCAATGACACATCATGCTAATTTCAACCCAAATTTTCTGAAATATTATTCAATGTTGCTTTTGTATCTCATTTCGGTTTCCATTTGACATTATTGAAGAACCAGGAATTTTAAATTTGGGTTGAGTTAATATTTGTCGTTCATGTTTCTCCGAGATTACGAAAAGTCATTAACAGAAAGCAATGGAATCCCCTAAGTCTCACTAAGACCTTCAGTACTTCAAGAATATTGCAAAGGATTTCCTTGTCACCCGGAATCCAGCCTTATTTACACTGTCTCTTATGCTTGAGAAGATTATCTACTGGATTTCCTATAGTCTGAACTAATTCCCAGGGATAATTAGGGCCCTGACACGGAGGCTTATAGGCTATCTTTGGAAAATAAACCCAAGGTAAGATGTCGGCCTGATTTCAGAGAATCCTGTGCTTCAAAGGCAGCATTGATGTTTCCCCGAAAGATGAATGAAAAATAAAGGAAATATTCTCTGGATTTTCTCACAGCAACGCAACAATTACGAATCATTTCGAGAAATTTAAAACTGGCGTCTTTCTCGAGGTAATCATCAAAAAAAGTTCATTAACGGAGATTAGATTTCGTTCGACTTCAACAGTTTCAAAATGATCCAGATCCGATGAAGCATTACACCTACTGGACCCATGGAATCATTCCGTTCACCGTAGACGAATCAATAAGTGATTGAAATATTTCATCCTTGATTAATAAAATAATAATTCATGGAATCTAATTTAAGACGGTGCGATGGATTTAATTCACGAAGCGATGGACGAAATCGAGAAGAAAACTTGCGTCAGATTCCAGCGACTGAAATCTGATCATGGTGTCAAAAACTTTGTTCATTTCACAGCGACGAATCCACTTGGAGGGTAATTTTTTGCATTTTACGAAAAGGTGTGTGATAGAATTGATAGAATTTATTTTGACGAAGGTGCTGGTCGTCGGTTGGCATGGACACGAGGAGAAGTCAAGTGATGAATTTGCAAAAACCCGAGTGCTGGGACAAGGGCGTGATTTTGCACGAACTGGTCCACAACATCGGCTTTTACCATGAACACCAAAGACCAGACAGAGACAACTATATTGATGTTCTTTATAGAAATGTCAGGCCAGGTATGTCATTTTTAAAATATTATTATTATTATTATTGAACCTAACTGAACACTTTTTTCAATTTTTATTAGAACCTTGTGGAAATGACTAGTTCTTGAACAAGAATCTGAATCTGAATTCCATTTTATCTTTTTAAAGCCACCAAACAGATTTTTGAGAGGGTTGAATCATCCCCAGTTTTTGTCAAATATTGACAGAGATGTGATGCTACATTATTGCAATGCAGTTTTCAGAGAAAAAAAATTATAAATTTACAGCAGGGGGCAGTCACAACTGAGCATCATTAATTTTTTTATTATTCAACTGGGTTAATGATTAGAGATTGCTCATGTTTGAGAACCAATGATTCCACACTTGCACTCAATGTAGCAGTTATGGCCCAGAATTTGAGGTCAGGCTTGGAAATTGCTTATCTTGTGCTCTGGGATCTAATAAAGCATAAATTCTCTTGAAATTTTGCAAAACCCTTATGGGGACTTGTATTTCATGAACAAAGATACAAATCTTTATAAACTTGATTCATGAGTTGAAAATCAGACTTTGATGGTTTGAAATCATTCCCAGGTTATTTATACATTTGTCAACAAGATTTGTGAGTAGAGGACATTGAGTAAAATCTTGACAAAAGACCCATATAGAGATAATATCTTAGACTGCAAAATTTTCAGTGGGGAAAAATGACCCATAGGACAGAATTTTTAAAGATTTGATGTTAATTAATATCTCAATATCTTTTGTGACTTGTTCAAATCTTTGCCTTTTTGGGACAGTCATCTGAAATACAGTTTGAAGTTAAAGTACAGATTCTAACATGAATCCTCAGCCTTGTCCCAGGCTGATTCTGTGTTGTTGG